AAATACGGCTACAAGTCAAGGTCGGGCTAAGGCTATTATTTTCATCCGTCATCATTTGGACATTCTTCTACAGTTTGAATATTTGACGGTGAAAGATCCACTTGATTTGTGGAATGAATTGAGGGAGAGATTTGGGCACTTGAAATATATCACTCTCCCTAAAGCCCGACAAGATTGGCTTAACCTGCGGTTGCAGGATTTTAAAACTGTTACAGAGTACAACTCTGCTATCCATCAGATTACATCTCAGTTGAAACTCTGCGGAGAAAATGTTACTGAGAATGATAAATTAGAGAAGACTCTCTCTACCTTTCATGCTTCGAATGTTGTGCTGCAACAGCAGTATCGTGAGAAAAACTTTCAAAAGTACTCACAGCTCATTGCATGTCTTTTATTAGCTGAACAAAATAATGAGTTACTGATGAAAAATCATTAGTCCCGGCCCACTGGTTCCAGTCCGTTCCCTGAAGCGAACGTGACATTTTCTGAATGAGGCCGAGGACGTAGTAGAGGTCGTGGACGTGGTCACGGTCGTGAGAGTCAACGCGGTCGATATACCCCCTAAAATCGCCGCAATTTTGACGTTAACAGGATGCAGAGTAAACCCCAACATGGGGATATAGCCGAAAAGGCTAAACAGGGAAAGAGGCAAATCGGCAGTTGTAATCGGTGTGGCATTGAAGGCCATTGGGCCAATACCTGCAGAACAGCCAAACACCTAGCCGATCTTTATCAAGCCTCACTACAGAAAAAGGGGAAGGAGGTCGAGACTAATCATTTTGATAACGATGACGACCCCGATGATGATCTTTTGGATTACGACACAACGCATCTTGATATAGCGGATTTTGTCGTAGATCTAGCAAACTCCCAGTGATAGACATATTATGTCATTTTACATTATGTTTTGTAATATTTAAATTATCGCATATTACCTTTTTGTAATGCATTTTGTAATACTTATATCTGCGTTTATTAATACTGCGGTATTTATATTTGAAGGTTAAATGGATGCCAATCAAAATGATGCAAATATGTGTTTCATTGACAGTGCAACGACACATACTATATTGAAACACGAAAAATATTTTTCCCATTTGAAAAGGGAAAGAATGAATGTGAATACAATAAGTTGCAGTGCAAAATTAATTGAAGGCTCTGGAGAAGCCATTATATTTCTCCCCGCGGGGACGAAAATTGTGATACAGTATGCACTGTTGGCTACTAAAGCTCAAAGAAATCTACTGAGCTTTCATGACATTCGGAAATATAGTTATCACATTGAGACTATGAGTGATATCGATGGTGAATTTTTATTGATCGCCAATATCATTGATAAAAGGAAATGCATCATTGAGAGATTATCCTCACTCTTTACTGTCTTATATTATGCCAGATTAGGAATTGTTGAAACACACCTCACGGTAGATCAAAAGACTACCGATTTTCAAATATGGCATGATCGCCTTGGGCATCCTGGCAGTATAATGATGAGGCGAATAATTGAGAATTTGCATGGCCATTCATTAAAAGATCAAAAAGTTTTAAACTCAAATGAGTTAACATGTGTTGCCTGCACTCAGGGAAAATTGATAGACAGGCCATCGCCAGCTAAAGTAGGGATTGAATCACCTACATTTTTGGAAAGAATACACGGGGATATATGTGGACTAATAGACCCACCATGTGGGCCATTTAAATATTTTATGGTGCTTATTGATGCATCTACCAGATGGTCACATGTCTGTTTATTATCTACTCGCAATATGGCATTCGCGAGATTGCTTGCTCAAATTATTAAATTACGGGCACAATTCCCCGATAATCCAATTAAGACTATACGTCTGGATAATGCTGGTGAATATACATCGAATGCATTTCATGATTATTGTATGTCGATTGGAATTAATGTAGAGCACCCAGTTGCTCATGTTCATACACAAAATGGCTTGGCAGAATCACTTATTAAAAGATTGCAATTGATTTCTAGACCATTACTGATGAGGTCTATGTTGCCCGTTTCAGCTTGGGGGCATGCAATCTTACATGCAGGAACACTTATAAGAATGAGGCCGACAAGCTATCATAGCTATTCCCCAATGCAGTTAGTATTTGGTCACGAACCAAATATATCTCATCTACGTATTTTTGGGTGTGCTCTTTATGTTCCTATTCCATCCCCCAAACGTATAAAAATGGGTCCTCAACGTAGATTGGGCATTTATGTCGGATATGAATCGCCGTCAATTATAAAATATCTTGAGCCTATGACGGGTGATTTATTCACTGCAAGATTTGCAGATTGTCATTTTGACGAATCATATTTTCTGACATTAGGGGGAGACAAAAAGGAACCGAAAAGGGATATTAATTGGAAAATCCCATTGAATTTTTGTGATCCTTGTACAAAGCAGTGTGAACTAGAAGTTCAACGCATTATACATTTGCAAAATATTGCAGATCAGTTACCGGATGCATTCAATGACTCGAGCAAAGTCACTCGATCATATATCCAAGCTGCTAATGCTCCGGCTAAAATAATTGTCCCTGATAGACAAATTACAAGTGCTAATGAATCAGCGACACGCTTAAAGCGTGGTAGACCACTCGGTTCCAAAAACAAACATCCTCGGAAGAAAAGAGGAATTAATGATGATAATCATGAAAATATCAGGAATGACATTGACAAACTTCAATCTAATGAGGAAGTCAATCCTGAAATAATTGCTCAAGAAGAGCACGATCTTGAAGAACATGATGAGATTATTGAAAACTCAATTAACTATGTTACTTCAAGAAAATGTTGGAACCGTAAAGAGGCAATTATTGATAATGCCTTCGTATACAACTTAGCACTTGATATAATAGAAGAAAACGAGGATTCAAAGCCAAAATCGGTTTATGAATGTCGACAAAGAAATGACTGGCCAAAATGGAAAAATGCGATTCAATCAGAGCTTGGCTCATTAAACAAAAGAGAGGTCTTCGGACCAATTGTTCAAACACCAGATGGTATAAAACCAGTTGGATACAAATGGGTGGTTGTACGAAAAAGAAATGAGCATAATGAAATTGTGAGATATAAAGCCCGTCTTGTAGCTCAGAGATTCTCACAAAGGCCTGGAGTATATTTTGATGAAAGGTACTCTCCAGTTGTTGATGGAATAACATTTAGATACCTTGTGTGCCTAGCAGTGCGAGAAAAACTTGATATGCGTCTTTTAGACGTAGTCACTGCATATCTTTATGACTCATTGGAAACTGATATTTATATGAAAGTTCTTGAGGGATTCAACATGCCCGAAGCATACAAATTAAACCCAAGGGAATCATATTTCATCAAATTGAAAAAGTCATTGTATGGACTTAAACAATCGGGGCGAATGTGGTATAACCGTCTGAGCGAATGTTTAATAAAATAAGGTTATACTAATGATCCAATATGCCCATGTGTCTTTATAAAGAAAAATGGATCAAATTTTGTCATTATTGCTATATATGTTGATGATCTCAATTTAATTGGAACTCCTGAAGAGATCCAAATTGCAGTTGAATATCTAAAGAAAGAATTTGAGATCAAACATTTTGGAAAGACAAAATATTGTCTGGGTTTACAAATGGATCATGCGAACAATGGAATATTTATCCATCAATCCAAATATACCCAGAAGGTATTAAAACAATTTTATATGGATAAATCTCACTCTCTGAGTACACCAATGGTGGTCAGATCCCTTGATCCTAGTAAAGATCTATTTAGGCCAAGAGAAGAAAATGAAGAAATACTTGGCCCCGAGGTACCATATCTCAGCGCTATTGGCGCATTAATGTACCTTGCAAATTGTACCATGCCAGATATATCTTTTTCAGTAAATCTACTGGCCAGGTTTAGCGTATCCCCCACAAAGCGCCATTGGAATGGTATCAAGCACATTTTTCGTTATCTTCAGGGAACTCATGACCTCAGTTTATTTTATTCGAGTGAATTTCGAAATGAATTAACTGGTTATGCTGATGCTGGTTATTTGTCTGATCCGCACAAAGCAAAATCTTAAACTGGCTATTTATTTACTTGTGGTGGAACCGCAATCTCTTGGAGATCTGCTAAACAAACGATAACAACAACTTCTTCAAATCATGCTGAGGTTTTAGCAATTCACGAAGCCGGTCATGAATGCATTTGGTTGAGGTCTATGACTCATCATGTTCAGAAAATTGTGGCTTGATTTCTGATGGTGTATTACCTCCTACAATATTATTTGAAGATAATGCAGCTTGTATAGCTCAATTAAAGGGAGGATATATTAAAGACGATCGGACAAAGCACATATCTCCAAAGTTCTTTTTCACTCACGATCTTTAGAAAAGTGGTGAAATTGATGTGCAACAAATTCGATCGTCTGAAAATTTTGCAGATTTATTTACGAAGGCGCTACCGACTGCAACATTCAACAAACTGGTGCAAGGAATTGGAATGCGTCGAATGAAAGACATCAAATAAAGTCCAAAACAGGGGGAGCACATTAATACAAGAATAATGTACTCTTTTTCCTTCACTATGATTTTTTTCCGCAGGATTTTTTCATAATAAGGTTTTAACGAGACACATTCTTTGTATAAAGCATCCAAGGGAAAGTATTGTAAACTACATAGTATATACGTACATATGGTGTGGATGCTTCGTGGCCATTTTTGTACTTTTATTTTCCCTATAAATACCCATATGTATTAATTGAATGATGGATGCAAGCAATCAATGCCTCTCTCCCTCTCTTGTTTCTCTCTCCATATTAATATATATAAATATTATACATAACATAATATATACATACATATATCTATATTTATCATCACTATATAATATTATTATATATTATATAACAATTCTTAATTTTTTCATAAACGATATGATAATTGCATATGGCTATATCGAAATTTTATACATTTATCATTACCCAAAATCAAAATAAAATATGATATCGTAACACCAAAATTTTTGGTATTATTTTCCCAACCCATCATATATGTCTGTATTTTTAAATACATGGTCAATTTGTTCTTTAACGAAGATTCAGGTCGACCCAAAAAATCCCGAACGCTATGTCGGCGCTGCCGGACGAGATGTGGAGAACGGTAATGGATATCGGCATCGAAACCAAATCCCTACAATACAGAGACCTCTGCTCGCTTTCCATAAGCTGCCGCCGTCTCCGTCGACTTGCCTCCGAAGATTCTCTCTGGTCGTTTCTTCTCCTTACCGATTTTTCTTTGTCCGCCGACGATTTAAAAAGGGAGAACGGAAGCATCTCGTCTTCAATTCAAAGCGGCAAGTTTAAGAGCCTCTACAAGATCAGGTTATATTTTCGCTCGATTTCGCCTTTATTTTTAGGGATTGTTGTTATAAGTGGGGATTCGGAAGCCCGACGATTAAAAGAACAACTGCTGTAGGTATGAGAAGGACAGGGAAAAAAACCGCCTGGCGCGTCGAAGAGTTGTTCTGAGAATGGAGAGTGAAGTAGCTGAGCGTCTGAGGAAAATTCGGGATTTGGAGCTCCAGTCTTCGGAGGAGAAAGAGAAATTGAATATGGTGGTTGCTGAGTTACGGAATTTGCGTAAGGCCAGGTATTCGCAACAAGTCTATCTTTATATACTTTTTACAGGAGGCATTTCTGTGTACTTTCTGATGTTGTGAAATGTTTATATGAACATCTTCTGGTGCTGTTGCATATTTTCCTTGTTGAAATGAATTGAGAATTTTGTATATGGTAGAGAAAATTTTCATGATATTTTTTTCCCAATTATTGCTAGGAAAGGAGGAAAATTGTATCTAAAAAGCTTATTATGTGTATATGATATGATATTAGAAATTTGTTTTTGAAATTTGATTTCAGTTTAACTTCTGAAGAGGTTTTGAATGGAATAATTTGAACCCAACGATTCTTCTTTGTGGGTGCCGAGGCTGCTGTTCCAAATGCAGTTTGTTATGATTTCATTTGATTCAATTTTACCCTTTTCCTTCTTCCAGTTGTTATAGTTATTCTAATATGATTATATCTTTTTCATGACTGTCTTCCTGTGATTTACACACACATGTGATACTGTCAGGCAAGCTTCGGTTGCTATGAACGTTTGGCAGCCAGAGGTTATTAGGGGCAAACAAAAAGAGATGATTCAGCAAAGCAATGTGCCTGTTGAATTTCGGATTAATGCTCTTGAGATGGAGATCAGTCTTTGCAAACAACAGATTGCAGGTTTTGATAAGGCGCTCGTAAGTTATGAGGCAGCATGTGTATTCTTCTAAGAGGCTGCTACTTATATAAACTGAACTTCCGACAGAATAATGATTGATTTTCTCAATTCCTCATTGCAGCGCCTAGAAAAAAGAAGGCTTCATGAAGCTGAGGAACAGTTGGCTTCAGTGAAATATCACCCGCTGGAATATTTTCGTAATGCTAGTTTCCAGACAATGGAACGGATCGTCAGAAGTAAAAAGTTTCAGCATACCTCGAATGTAAATTTTTCTTTTTTCTTCACAGTTTTTCTCACATTTTACACACTTAACAAAATTTTTATATTCACGAGTTGATGTTTTACCCCTACAACATTTTGGACATAGATAAAGGAGGATTAAACAATTTTAAACAGTTGTGAATGTCAAATATCTGTGGAGCATGTCTCGAAACATCACTGCCCATAGAGATCACGAGCAAGAAGTTAGCAAGAAAAGATTTTCTGTCCATGTCAACTTTTTAAAGTCAGGTAAATGATCATTCCTTCGTCCAATTCCATCTTGCCTTCAGTAATTCTAATTATTTGGTGGTTATGTTTTAAAACTTTGATATTGGGCTCGATAATGCATATATGCCATGTTATTTTGATGAGGGGTGTCAATGTATAAGAAAGACAACAAAATTATGTGTTTTCTTTTGAGTTTTTCCATAATTTATGATTTGGGATGTTAGAATTTGAGAGAAAATTATGAAAATTGTATTATGAAAATAAGGGTGGGACAGTAGAGGCAAACTTGAGTTTGTCCCAGAGCAAGCGGAAGCAGAAGCGGCTGAGAATAAGAGACTTGGTGAAGATATCTGCTATCTGATCTGCAGAGGAGACCGGAACGAGATGGACAGCCCCACTGACAACATGCTATCGAATAAAGTGACAATCAAACTCAATATGCTGGTTGCATATAGGAAATAGAATTGATGTGAATCATATGGGCAAACTGAGTATATATAGTGGGCAATTCAAACGATTTTTTTAAAAATAAATCTAAGTAAACTGTTAAATCATCAATAAAGAGAATATAATACTGAAAACCACTTATAGACACAATAGGAGAATGGCCCCAAATATGAGAATGCATTAAAGAAAAAGGTTTAATAGCAGTAGATGAACTCTTTGAAAAACTAAGAGTAGGGTGTTGCAAGTTTACAGTCGGCACAATTAAAGATTCAAAACGACCTGGACTTAAAAAGACCTTTAGTATGAAGTGACCGGAGCTTATCGAAAGACGCATGACTTAGACGAAGATGCCCATGAAGACAGGATGAATCAGAGGTGAGAGCTGCAGAGTGGGGATATGTGCGAGAGGTACGAAAAGACTCAAGCTCAAATAAACAACCGGCCTTGCAGCCCGTCCCGAGAAGCTTATGAGAAACCTGAACCTGCACACCACAAGAAGAAAATGTAATAGGAAGGCCTTATTTAACTACTTGACCAACAAAGATAAAATTCAAGGCTACGTGAGAATGCAATATGTATCAAGAAGATATAGAGAAAAGGAGCACGCAAGGCCGTTGTGGGTAAATCTGCATAGTAGTACTATTGGCAGTATGGATATGTGGTAAATGGGAGACAAGAGACATAGATGACAAGTTATGAGGGTTTGAGGTCATGTGGTGACAACAACCAGAATCAAAATACCAAGTAGATGTACTTGAAGTGGTAAACAGAGCATAATTGGATTGGATAACCTGTCTAAGAATGGCTTCTATATCGTGAATAGTGTAAGATGAATGCTGAGGCTCATTAGTAGTAGCAGCTGTAACTGAAGAAGAAGCAGTCGAAGAAGGCCACTGGGCTCCTGAGGTTTGGGAGCTGAACCATCTAAATGTCTGGGAGCAGAACTATCGGAATATCTGGAAGCAGAACTACCTGAATGCTGAGATTTGGTAGGACAAGCCAGAGCAATATGGCCACGTAAACGACAGAAGTGACACTTAGTCTTTGGACATGTAGCAAAAGTGTGATAAGAAGTCTTGCAAACTCGACATTTATTATTTGGAGATCGGGACTGGCGAAACACAGCTAGAGCAGAATCATAACTCGGTGTCTTAGCCAATTGGAGTCGGGTCTCCTCAAATATAATCTCCTGAATAATAGCATCAAGAGTAGGCAATGGGTGTCAATGTAGAAGTGATGCACGAACAGCCTCATATTCAGGTCGAAGAGCCATCGGGATCTGAATAAGGTCAAGATGGTCTTGACTAACTTGTGCTTGTCGAAGACGATAGCGAATAGGCTGAACCTATGCAAGAAACTCATTGACGGACTGACCAGGTTGCTATCGGATGGAGCTCAGCGTGGTCCAAAGCTGATAATAATGAGCAAGATCTTTAGTCAGAAAACAAGCAGCAAGAAAATCCCATACCTCCTTTGCGGTATAAAAAGGAGTTAATTGTAGTTGAATAGCAGGTACAGATGTATTGCGTAACTAAGTAAGGATTTGACAATTCTTATAATTCCAATCTTCCAATTTGGCAACATAATCTGCATTCTTCCGAGAGGTAGGATTAATATTCACAATAGGAGATTGAGAGACTGGTGACCGGATATCGCCAGTGACAATACGCCATAACTTCCTATCAATCAGAAAATTTCTCATAAACTGCATCCAAATATCATAATTGTCTCCGGACAAAATAATAGTAGTGGGAGAGTAGGCATCCATATGCTCCATATCAAAAATATGCAAAACAAGATATTAAGATCACAAGATGATGAACGGCGCAAGAAACAGCGAACCAAACCAAGAAAAAATATTACTGTATGGGACGAAAATAAAATTCAATCAGACCACAACGTAGAGGACTGCGAGACGAGGCGATGGCCGAAAAATGGCGGCAAACAGCGTTCAGGGTGGCCCCTCACGCGCTGGTGATGTTTTCTGGCGTCGCTGTGATTGTCTGGCGCGTGTGAGCTCCACGCGCCGCTGAAGGCGATGAATTTTCGGCTGCTGAGTCGACGGAGGACGGCTGGGGCGGTGATGAACAGTGGTGTCTGGAAATAGGCTATGTTGGAATTTTGAGAAAAATTATGAAAATTATATTATAAAAATAAGAGTATACAAGAATATTAATACTAGGAAGCTCCGGCCTAATAATACAAAAGAAGTATCTATAGCTAATATGGGAAAACAATTGGCTTGAACCGATCGATAGGTGTGTGCAAACTAGTTTAAAAGGTGAAGGTCACGTGTTTGGGATCTTTGGAATGCAATTTTAGGGTTTTTGATCTGCCCAATCATCATCGTAATCTGATTCTGATTCAGATTCAAGTCTGAGATATGTCTTCTTGTCCACGTATGATCTTGTTTGTTGATTTGTGTATCCTATATTTTAGGGATATCTTTGCACAATGATTGTAGTAATTGATCTAATGACATGATATATCTTAGAATATCAATATTGTTATTGAAATATAAGCTTTTATGCAAAATTATATAGATTCTCGCAGATATTCTGTTAGACTGCCCCTGTTTCTTCTCTCTCTCTCTCTATGTCAGAAATTATATATATATATATATATATATGTGCACGACGAATACACTAACAACTCTATAAGCCATTAACATATCGTTTCTGAAGCTTCACGTGAATCTGATTGTGTGTGTGGAACATGCCTAGAGGAAGGTAAGTGACAGACATTATTAGGCTTGGTGTGTATTCTGAATGGCTACAGATTATGTTGTGATGGAACAACATACTAGCATTGATTATTATTACCATCCATTAGGGGATTTATCTTATCAATTCAATCATCTTCGGAATTTTGAATATTTTTTTTTATGTAATTCCATTGATATTCTTGTTTGTTTGTTTGTTTGTTGCAGGCACATAATCGTAATGTTGTTGCTGGCGATCATGGCCATAGTTACCATCCTCATAGCGGGTCTTCTCCACTCGATGCTCTCGACCATCTCGTTTATGGACTCCAAAGATCCTTTCTGGGTTGATGAATTAGGGTACTGGTCCAGTATGTGACTTGCCGTGGAGCCCCAACCCACAATTTTCCGATGATTTCCGGCAACTTTTCTCATCAGTTGTGCTGGATTATCTGAGAAGTGTGCCCAAGTTAGAATATTTTCAGTTGATTTATTTATCTATTATTTTTTTTGTTTCAAAGTGATTTTTCTTCCTTTGTACAGACAACTCGGTTCTTTACGTCAATTGTTTAAAAGATGAACCAACTTTTCTTTTTTCGTTTTCTTTTATTTTCGTTGTAGCCACTTTTTGGAGTGTATTTTGGGTAAATCTGGGCGTTATGTATGTTATATTGGGTATGATGAATTATTTGGTTTGGTTCAATACTTGAACAGATTTATTCTTAGACCAATTAATTTTTTATATGATGAATGAATTTTATAGAGATATTCAATAAATTTATTAGCATTGAATAATATAGTTTAAAAATAAATTCAACTATTGTAATTTATGGATATAGTGTCGCTACATAATGAGTGTGAGCTTAAAATTAGGGATATAATGATTTGATTTTAATTAATCAATTACCAATTAAGCAGATATTATGGTGTTACCGATAAGAATAAAATACACTCTTTTCATATGATATAGTGATAAATATATGATAAAATAAGAGTATTTATATTGAATAGTTTCGTCCATAACTACTAAAAAGAAAATATATACGCGACAAAAAAAATAAAAATGACTACCTTAACACATTAAGGAGGGGTATATATTATATTTTTTTAATTAATATTAATTGAGATTCATGAGAGCATAAAATTATCTATGGAACAAACCTAAACTACATAAATAGAGGAAAGTTATTTTTTTTCCCATTGTTAGCAGACTTGTTTTTTACATAAATAGAGGAAAGTTACTTTTTGTCCCATTGTTATCAGACTTTTTTTTAATATCAATTTTGGTCTCAACTTAATACGTAAACTATAGTGTTATTGTAGCTACCAGATGTATTCAATTAGAATTTTAATGAATTTGTCTGCATTTTAAAAAGTCCGTGAATTTGAGTGGATTTATAAATTTTATAGAATCTATGCAGAGTTTAATTGATTTTGTTTATTGATTTATATGAATTTTGATAGATTTGATTGGATTATTTATTAATTTCTCTAGACTTTATTAGATTGAGTTTATAAATTTGTGAATTAAATATTTTTTTTTATTAATTTATATAATTTCAAATATATACATTACACATATAAGAATTTCAAATATTTAACAAAAATATTAAAAGTACATTAGTTCTCAAAAAATATATCTATTATTATTCTCATTTTTATTTTATTTTAATAATAATATTTTTAAATCTATATTTTTTGTTATATTATTATTTTGATCGGATTTATTATATTATATATATTCAGCATAATTAATTTTTATTTTATAACAATATATTTAATTGTTATTTTATTTATATGAATTTTTATACAAAAAAATATATTTATAAATAAAATCATATTAAAATTACAAGTTTTATTAATTAAAATTAAAATTAAAATAATTAAAAAGTAATAAATATAAACTAACATTGTCAAATATAATCTAATTTTGATTTGACATTTCCAAAAATTAAAAGTGATAATTTTGATTCGAACAAGTTTATTTGTTATTATATATATAATTTTTAATATTATTTCAAATATATAAAACTTAAAAATATTTGTAATTTTTATATTAAACATTTAAATTTTCTTATCTTGATATTATTATAATAAAATAATAAATAGTTATTAATGGTATAAATAAAATAGGCAAAACAACAAAAAACTCCTTGTGGTTTACCGAATCTGCTAAAACTCCCCGTAGTCCTAAAACTCCAAAAAATCTACTCATGGTTTGTAAAACGTTGCACACTCGCCTCCCTCCCCTTTAAATCACATTGACACCATTAAATTTTAGCTTTATCAGACCGTTACGCCCCTACCTTTATTTTTGACTTGGCGTTTTTATTTTCTCACAGCATTTTCCATTGTTACCCTAAATCCTTCATTCTTTCACTGTCGCTTGTCGCGCAATCAAGAAACCCACTAGCAGAGAGACGCCGTCGTTGCCCCACCTCCACCCGCCGTTTCACGTTGCCTTTCGCTCATCCTTTCATACACTATCGTTATCCTTCCCCTCCGACACCACAGTCGCCATCCCCCCCCCCCCCCCCCCCCCCGTCTACCCCACCCCCAAGCCTTCTAGGGCTTACTTGCGATTTTTTAATTTGGTAAAATTTCTCAAATCTCTCATCTTCGCTCGTGAGTAGGAACGATTTCAAAAAATATTTTTCTAGTATTATTTTGGGTTAAAAGTGAACTTTACATCGGGCACAGATATGTGTATATTATTGAAAATTTTGTGGTCAAGTTACTTTATTTTCTCTTTTGTTGTGTATTTTGTCGTATCTCTGGAATAAATTTAGTAATTTCGTAGAAAGTTAGAGGTTGTTGGTTGTAAGATTCAGTGTGTTATCCTGCAGATTGCAAGTTCTTGAGGTTGTTGTGATCCCCGGCATAATGGACTAGTTTGTGAGAATTTATATGTGGGTGGATGGGTATACCGAGTATGAGGGCCCCGCGAAGCGATACATGGGTGGCAGATGTGTTTGTTTCCCACGTATCGATAAGGATAGGTTCTACTTTGGTGAGATCTTCAACATGTATTGCCGTGCAGGAGGAAGGGCAGGTGTTGTGGAGTTCATACATCGGAGCCCCAATAGTCCCCACAGTGCAAATATCAAGGGTCCAGTGTATCCTATTAAGAGCGATGAAGATGTTATGAATATGCTTAAAATTCACTACGGGAAAAATATAATTTCTAGATATCCCGAGGATAAAGGTTTGCCGATGCGCATATGTGATGCTTACGGACATGACATACGGAGGCCTAACGAAGGTTTGTTGCTTGAATGGCATCGTGGAGTGGAGGAAAGTAGCACTCCGAGGAATTATGTTTTTGAAGACGATAAGGGTGTCGAGGACGATGGGGGTGATGACGCTCATGAGGGTGAAAACGTGCATGAGGAAAGAGTAACGGATGATGTGTGCGGAAACAAGAATAAAGGTTTTCAAAGCTACGGATTTGAGGAGTTAACCGATGGATTTGATCCGCAGGATGAAGAAAGATTTCAAAAAGGGAAATGCATTGCAACTCTAAACTCGGAAGAGGAAAACTATGGGGACGATGAGGACAATGATGAAAAATGATGACTCGCAAGAGAATTTTGAGTACATGGGTGTTGACGTACTCGTGTGGACCGAGTACACGGAGGGAATGGACAATCGTGGTTGGTATGAGGCTGAATCGCATGCAGAAAAAGGGGCAGGTAAACTTCGTGGATGTTTTCTTTTCACATATGGATTTGACATGAATACATTGCTTATGTTATGTTTCATTGTGTAGATGCGAGCGATGACGATGACAATGACAATGACGATGACAATGACGATGATGATGACGATAACGGTGATGATGAAGATGATGATGATGATGATTGTGATCGTGACGATGACGATGATGAAGACAATGACAATGACGATGATGAAGACGATGACAATGACAATATAGATGCTGACGAATATTGGGAGGAGTTGCGGATTTATCGGGAGAGTCAACGAGAGAAAACCCATGAGGAAAATTCTAATGGCGAGGATCAAATCTCGGATAGTGGAGAGTGGGACAACAAGGATGCGGAAGGAAAAATTCACTCGGACACTTCCCTCACGGATGAGGGAGCAGCAGAACCCGGTGGGGGTGATATACCAATGGATGAACCTCACTTGGCGGATGAAACTGAGGCGATTGGAGAATGGAATCACAGGACGGGGGTTAACACGACCAAAAATGGGTGGATTAGTGATGAACTAAGCGAGGAGGATAGGGTACTGCGTAGTCTGGCAGATTCTAACGACACCCGGGGGCCGGCCTACGAGGAATGGGATGATGAAATGGAGGAATCCGACTGTGATTTGAAAGTCGGGATGAAATTGGTGAACCGATTGAAATATAGGCAAGCCCTCATTGACTGGGCTGTATGGCGTGGGTGGGATATAAACCTTATAAAGAATGAAAAAAAGAAGGTTACAACCATATGCAAGAAGGGTTGTGATTGGAGGATTCACGCGTCATCCATCATGGATGGAGACACCTTCCAGATCAAAACTCTGAAGGGTACCCATCAGTGTTCACACTAGTCGATCAATGCACAAGTAAACTACAAGTACCTTGGAAGGAGGATAAAAGAATATGGTGGCAGATAATCGAGGCATATCTATACCTTCATTGAAGAAGAAAATTCGGAGGGAGGTGCGTGTTGAGGTGACTACGTACAAAGTTTACCGGGCGAAGCGACATGCTTTGAAATTGATCAAGGGTAGCATATCAGAACAATACAAACGCCTTTACGATTACTGTGCGACAGTGTGCAAATTCAACCCAGGCAGCAGTTGTATTTTGTCCGTTGATCGGGGGGTTAGTCCGCCGGTGCTTAAGCGAATGTACTATTGTTTGGCAGCTTTGAGGGAGTGATTTAAAGCAGGCTGTCGCACTATCATAGGGCTTGACGGTTGCTTCCTTAAGGGAATTTATAAGGGGCAGCTACTTACGGAAGTAGGGAGAGATCCGAATGAAAATATTTACCCTATCGCCTTTGCATTTGTCGAGATTGAAAAGTATGAGACGTTGGATTGGTTCTTGGAGCGTTTGCTGAGGGAATTGGGTGATTCTAGAACAAGGGAATAGTCCTTTATATCTGATTGTCAGAAAGGTTTGGTGGAGACGATTGCAGAACGAGCGCCAGGAGCAGAACATCGTTTCTGTTTGCGTCACATGTACAACAACTTCAAAGTGCGGTTTAAGGGATTGGAATTGAAGCGTCTTTTCTGGAAGGCAGCGTCCACATTTAATCTGAAGGAGCATGAGAAAGTGTTGCGACAGATTCGGCGGTACGATGCAGCAACCGGGACCGGGGAAGCTACGTACGCATGGTTGAGTGAGATCCCACAGCGGCACTGGGCACGGGCCTTTTTCCGGGTACAAACAAAGAGCGACGTACTCGTGAACAACATGTGTGAGTCCTTTAATCGTTATATTTGGGAGGCAAGGGACCTACCTATAATTGATATGTTCGAGTGGATACGACGAAGGTTGATGGTTCGAATTCAAAAGAAAAAGGCGGGGATCAAAAAATTTGAGGGAATTGTGTGCCCTAACATCATGAAAAAGGTGGAACTGGTGCGGACGGTTAGCCGCAACTATTTTCCATCATGGGGCGGCAACGATAAGTACGAAGTTATGCACTTCGCACAGAACCATGTTGTCGAGTTGAACCAGCATATGTGCACCTGCGGCATGTTCCAAATTAGCGGATATCCTTGTTGCCATGGAGTGGCCGCGATCAAGTACCAGCGACTTGCGATGGAAAATTTCATAGATGTCTGCTTAAAAAAAGAAACATACATGGCAGTATACACCCATGCGATAAACCCCGTTCCTGGAATACATTAGTACAAAGAAACAAATTATCAGAATCCATTTCCCCCAGCAGACACCCGTTTTCTACAAAAAAAATCAAGAGACCCAAACTCGGCAACGATAACACAGAACTTGTATTCGATAAACATTCTCACCAAAATTGCAGTCTCCCGATAGAAAACGCATTGCTATAGCACAATCAAAAAGTGACGGGCAAAATCGTACTAAAACAAAAAAACACCCAAAAACAAAACTGTTGGCGCACCTAAAAAACACCCAAAATACACCTAAATTCAACTACTGTTACATACGGGCAGACCTGAAGTTTTTGGAAACAAACCGCCGGCGCCAGAAGGGTGGAGGCCGCTGTGGTAGGTGATGGAAAACGACAAGCAATTTTTGGAGGAAGAAGAAGCAGTGCGAATGAGAGAAATGTGAATAAGAAAAGGGCGTATTTAAGTTAATAAACCTAGGGGGTATTTTTGTAACTTCACTCTCATATATATGACTTTCTGAAGCAAACATCGCATTTTGGGCGCGTGACAGACACTTGCCATTAAGTCCTAATTGAGAGGGTGTTTCCTACAACGTTTTACAAACTACGAGTAGATTTTTTGGAGTTTTAGGACTATGGGGGATTTTTAGCAAATTCGGTAAACCACAGCGGGGTTTTTTGCTATTTTTCCAATAAAATAATATGTATTCTTTTTACTAATTTTGAAAATCCATTAAAATCTCACAATATAACAAGATATTCTATAGACTGTAATTTATTAATAATTTTATTAAATAATCCAACAAAATCCATGGATTTTTAAAGTATATGGATTGTTAAATACACTAAAATTTTAAAAAAAGACTTTTTCAAATATGAATTGAATATACCCAAATTTTAAAAGTCCAATGAAATCCAATAAAATCTATGTTGAATACACCATCCTAAAAAGTGTATTCACAGTTTTATTCTAAATACAATTGTGTTCCTATCCATGATCCATGTTCTAGTTATTTTTTTAATATGGTTATGTTATAAGTTATATTCAATGTATGCTTATTTGATATATATTTATAATTCAATAAAAATAAATTTTAAAATTATAAAAAACAATCAAAATTTAATATTTTATAAATAATTAAAAAAATAATAATAACAATAACAATAATAAATTAATATATACTCCTTCCATCCACGGAGAAAGTATACATTTATTTTTGATGCGGTGTTTAAAAAATAATAGTATTTTAATTATAGTCGGTAGTTAAAAGTAGTGTAATGACATCTTTGCCCTTACTTTTTGGTATAAAAGTAATAATGTGGTGTAAAGTAAAGATATTTTTGAAAAAAAGTGAGGTATTTAATAAAATGTTTACTTTGTAATTGGACGTCCCAAAATAGAAATGTGTATAGTTTCTAGTTGGACAGAGGAAGTATTTTATATAATAATAATTATATATATTTCAATATTTATAGCAATAATTTGAAAATAATTTAAATTTATAATTTTAAAAATAAAAAAATATTTATACTTTTTTTAATATATTTTAATTGGATAATAGTTATAAAATTCGGTAAATATAAGTTTCGTTTGATTTGTATTTAACTTTAAATACTTTAAATTTAAACAATATGTTTATATAATATTCTATAAAAAATAGTGCTACCTCCTGTAGGATGACGCATTTGGTTTGAAATACGGTATATTTAGATAATATAGATGGGTAAGTTATTAATAATAAATTATAATATTATTTTATTATTTTTTATATTAATAATATTGTTAGTATTTTAAAAATTTTTAAAATTATATCTCAATAAAATATATATAATATGAATATCATTTTGTAGATAACAAAATTTTATATAATACAAATAAATAAAAAAAATATATTTATTTTATTTATAATTAATTTAAAACTAATTTTATAAAAAATGAGAATTTTAAATATAGATAAAAATATTTGTTTACTGGGGAGAAACATAAAAATAAAAGAGTTTTGAGCGGGTCTTACATGTAAAAAGTTAGAAATTTAATTAAAAATAAAATACGTTTAAGATAATAAATTTACTTAAAGTAGAAATGGGATCATCTCTGATAAGACCAACAAAAAAGGAAAATAAGTCGGAGGGAATAAATTTTTATTAAGAACAATCCAAATTAAATTGTAAATAATTTAAGAGTTTGTTTGTTTAGTGTTTTAATTTGAAATTTCTTTTTTATGTGGGATATAAAAAATTGTGTCGGTAATAAAAAAAATAAAAAATTTATACTACCTTCGTCCATGGCCAGTCTACCCATTTCCATTTGGTGTCATTGTTTTTAACTTTGAAATAATATTTATATTTGTATAATTTTTTGTACAAATTTCATTACATTAATATTATAAGACAATAATAGAAGTATTGTTGTCATTTTTTTTTAATTTGTACTACATTTTGATATAATAATTAATATTAAAAAATTAATATGTAAAAAGTAAACGGGTAGATTGGCGGCGGACGGAGGTGGTATTAAATTTTAACTTTTGTGAGAGCATAAAATATATCTCTCTCTGTCCGCCAAATTTATTCTCACTTTATTTTTTCGTCCATCCGTTAAATTATCACATTACTATATTTGAAAAAATCAAAAAATCACTGTTTAATTATTATTCTTCATTCAATAGTTATTTATAATAAATACCACCAACTTTATTATATTTTCTCGTTCATTCTCAAATAATTACTAACTAAATTTCTAAAGTATCCCAAATTATTTTTTATTTTCTCATTTTTTCAATAAAATTATTTTTTTAAATTCGCGTATTGAGTCCAAATAAGCTAATTTTTCCGGATAGCCGAAGAATATATATATATACATATATTAAAAATCGTATATATATACGTGCAAACAAACCCTAAATTAAAGTACAAATAAAACAAACTCGTACTTTATCTGTCTTAAAAAACATACCCTTTTAGTTGTCCTATGACATTAGTCCATGTCCTATGATATTAGGTCAATTTTCTTGTTGGGCAATAATTAATAAATAATTATTTAAATTAAAATTTTAACTTTATTTTATTAAATTATTAATATTCATACTAGAGTTTGTCTTGTTGTAGGTTTGACAGTTGAGTTGGAAATTTTGAATTGTACTAATTTCAAATGTCTTATAATAATTTTTTTTTATGTCCTAAATACCTTATGATATTTCTAAATTAAAAATTAATTAATTATACTTAATCTATTACCACACTTTATTTTATTACATCAATCTAATAAAAAAATAAAATATATACTCTCATCTCCATCGCATCAATTAATTTTTAAATTATTTTACTTAATACTCTCCACCTAAAATCTCGTGCCCAACTTAAATGTAGCATATTGTTTGAGACGGAGGGAGTAATACTTATTTAATGTAATATAAATATATATTCGTGTGATATTTTAAATATTAAATTATTTTTAATGTAATATAAAAATAAAATTAAATATTTGATTTAATATTTTGGATAAGAGAAATTAATAAATAGTGATTCTGAGTTTGAATTTAAATTCTTTTTAAAAAATAAAATAATAATTTTGATTGTATTTTTTTATTGTTTAGAAACTCTACTGTGTTTTATTTTAGTTATTGAAATTTGTAAAAGAAATATTATTAATATATACTTTTTATTATTTCGTACATTCTTCGTCCCATTTTGATTAAGTCATATTTTTTGACACAATTATTGTAT